CATAAACTATGAGAATTAACCAAGTCCATATCCTATACCTTTTTTTAGATGGGTGACTCAGATACATGAAAGACCATCCTACTTTAAAAACAAACAAACAAACACAACAACAAAAAAACAAAACAAACAACCCCCCCCCCCTTCGGAACTAGAAAAGAACCTGTCTCCTTAAATAATCTGTTCAGGTGTGTGATATCTTTATCAGAAAGTTGTGTTTGCTCCCCCTAATGCTTTGACTCAGTGTCTTGAAATAATGTGCACACCAGAGAAGAATTCTCAAGAGGGTGTTACAGTCCCATTTGTGGAGATGATTGAAAGCTCAATGGGCGAAGGAGAACACTTGAAACACAGACCCATGACATTTGCAAGATATTCCTTATCTCATCCTGTCCTCCTCCCTAGCTGTCTTCTGCGGGGCCTGCTGCTGATTACCTGAGACAGAAAGAAAGTCATCCACTGAGGTGATGTCATCCACAGCCTCTGTCAGCACTCGGACTTGCTTCTCCCACTGGTCTTTGAAGACATCCATGTTGTCCTGAGCGACTTTGCTCTGTGGCCGGGCAGCCAGCGTGAGGGCGGCATTGATGACCTGTTTGTTAGAAGCAACCCAGCAACAGTGAAAATGCTTTTCAGAGGAGGAACAGGCAGGTCGAAGACCATGTTGACACCCTGGACCCCGTAGTTTCTACAGATAAGTGTGTTCTCAGTGTTCAGAAAAACAATAAAAAACATGAACAATGAAGCAGGTTATCAACAACCACTGGTTTTTGTTTGCTTGGCTTCTTTTTTTAAGACACAGTAGTTAGTATAGTTTCAGAAAGTGTTTACTGGACAAGTCCTATATACTTAGCACAGACAGGGCAGAAACATAACTCTTGTTTTATATGTGCAAGCTTATAATTAGTTGTTGAGACAAGGTAAATAGATATGGAGTGTTTAAATAACAGCCCCAAACAAATAGAACAAAGTCAATAAGTCAACATGAATGGGAATGACAATAATTGCCACAGTTATTCTAAATAGACTGGAGTAGCTGGAATTTTTTTTTTTTTTTTTTAAGAAAGGGAGAGCTTGAAACAGCCCGTGGATGTTGGTTAGCACTTTCCAGTGAGAAGAAAGAGGGCAGGCAAGGAAAGGAGTGACATGAAAGATGGAGAGTAGAAGGTCCTAAGTATCAAGTCACTGATGGGCTTTTGAAACCAAGTGAATAAGGCTTACCTGGGGACAGAGGCTGTCAATCTGAGTGGCTGCCATCCGGACTAATTTCACCCCTTCCTCATTGTTGGAGATGGAACAGGCCAAATTGGCAACCTGTATTGAAGCAAATTTGAGTGAAGATTAGATTGAGGTAATGAAAAAGTATAGTGTTGTATGACCTTGTACCTTCTCTGGAAAGTGACACATCCAGGAGAATTCTTTCACAAATCAGATAAGGGCCCCTTTCAGTGGGGAACTAAGTATTACTAGTTTTAATGCTATGTTAGGCATTTCTGCCAGAAGACTAGGATGCTAATAAATGATTGCTTCAGAATTCTTATGCATTTTAACTGTTCCTTTGAACCATTTTCCACTATGGGCTGCCCTGATCCACCTACAGTCTCACTGGAGCCCCCTCAGAGTCATCCCTGAGTGCAGAACACTGATTTTGGCCACATTAGTACTAAATTTTGACCAGTGAGAGAGACGCTGCAGGCAATGCTTTGGATTTCAAAGAGAGTCATAGTAAGCTGGAAATTAGAGTGCTCGACCCCAACGAACACAGATCTGCCTGTCAGCGTCTGGCAGGAAGATGCTAGTCCACCAACAGCCAACTCAAATGCTTTCAGGGCCCAGGCAGGTCTGAGAGATGGGAAGAGAATGGTATAACCCACAGGTAATAGTGGAGTCTATAGCAAATTAGAACATGCAGGTTTACTATAAAGGCATTCAATTTTGATGTTTTTAACACACAATACCAGCCAAAACATCTGAACTGAATTTGAGTTCCCTAGTCAAGCATTTTGATTTGTGTTATTCCTTCTCTTCAAGGCGTGAGAATGGGTGATACAAGGTTAGATTGATTAGCCAAGGTCAATGGCGCACAAAATCACCATCAAAACTCTGATCAGTCCCATCAGGCTGGTGTCAAGAGAACAGGAGGATGGGGATTAGAAATGGCAAAAGAAAAGAGAAGGNGAGCCAAATTCAAGAATTAAACTGTCACTCGGTTAATGGCAAGATGCTCCTTTTAAAATGCTATTAAAAATTGTAGTTTTCGCTCAGTGCAAAAAGTTTAAGTGCTCTAACACAGCCATTTCACTTTTTTATGAGCCTGGGCCACATTTGAAAATTGGTTTTGCTCCTATAACGTTAATAGCTGGCATCACTGCTCCCCAAACTTGTTGCATTTCAAATGGACAAATTAAGCACTCAGACATACAAGTGCAGGTAGCATGGGAAAAAAAAAGAAAGAAATCTATAGTGCTTTAAAGATGAAGACCTTTTTTTTTCTTGTTTTAAATAGTTTTCTGCCAGAATAGGCATTCCCTGAAGAAGAAACTGATACATAAATGTCATTAATGCCATTTCAAAATATCTCCTGGGCCAAACTTGCAATTGACTGATACGACTGTTTTGGCTCCAGCTTAGAGAGGAGATGAGAAGTAGTTTCCCCCTCGACTCGGCTGCCTCCACAGCTGACCAGCAGGAGAGAGTGGGCTGCGTCATTATGTGTCAAGCCCGTCTGTGGAAAGGAGCCCACTGCCTCTAAAGGCGCGCTCCAGCGGGCCCTGCCAGGGCTGGCTCCCTGACAGCGCCTGTTCATTTTCCTGTCATGGCACATTGCAGCACTTGTACCACTGGGCTGGGCTGCACAGTGTTATCAGCAGAAACCAAAGCCTTTTCATGTTGCTGGCAATTATGAGATGCACAAAGGAATGGCAGGGAGTGTGCTGGCAAAAAGGCAGGGCCGGTGGGAGAGAATTAAGAAACGCTTTGCGCCACTGAAAATGTCTTGAGATAAGACCTGCTCACCTTGCTTCTCCCCACCCTCGGAAATTGTTGTACATGCATTTAAAGAAAAGAGGAAGTTGGGAAAGTTTTCAATTCTAAAGTGCTTCCTCTTGGAGAAAGTTAATGCTTGGGCATTTTCTAGTCATTTGTAGCTAGAAGGGGAGGCAGAGTTAGCTTTCCAGGGACGATCGGGATTGCTCTGTGAGATCTGAGGCTGGGTGGGGAGGCCCACTGCCCCTTTCTGGGGACCCTGTAGTCACGCTGGCAAAACTGACTACATACTAGAAAGATACTCAGTCTTGTTGGCCACTCTTCTATTCCCCACTATCCTTCACGTTGTTAGGACTCAGCGGTCAGCAAAGCAAAACGGCCAGGAATTGGGCAACCTATTGAGTTCATTACTTGCCGCCCCCTAGAAATGGGTATATTAAATGCATCTCTGCTGTGACAAGTCATCAGAAACAAAGCACCTTAGAAATGGAAAGCAGGACACATTTCTGAGCGGGAGGAGGTCACAGAGTGGAAGAAGTATACAAGAGTTGGGGAGAAGGCAGCTGCAAAGAAAGCTCAGTGCCAAAGGAAATTCTCGTTCTATCCTGACTTCCTGAGAACTATATGCCTTCTGAAATGAGGATAGTCTGAATTTAATACCTTCTCTGCCAGGTTACCTACCCTCTCAATGACTTCATTGTCTCAAAGGAAGACGTATGTTGCCTGATTCCTATACCACGCCCCCCTGCATTAGCCTCTAACCCTATTAGTTAGGAGGGAGTGTTTTCGGTATGACTGGAGGCTCTCTCTGGGGGGTGTCTCAGATGTGACTGGGACCTGTTGGAATGACAACAGTCATCTCCCCTGGGAGGACACAGTAACAAGGTGTCCTGGGGCTATGTGGCAGATGTGTGAAGGCACAGGATTTGCTGGAACACAATGGGATATGTTAATGGAAAAGGCTTTGAGGCACAAACCTCAAAGGATGCTAAATTGATTGACAGCAGTTTTACTTCTTTGAAAATTCTGATTAAAAGCCATGCGCTGACCAATTTGGGGCTCAGTCTTCTCTGGCTGAGTCCCTTGGTCTCGCTCAAATCTAACTTTTGTCTCTTGACTCTATTCAATCTGCGTCGCCCCTCTCGAAACCCATTTGCCCTTGCCACTCTGGACGTGACAGACGTAGAATACTAATACCTACTTTATAGAACTTGGGCAAGAATTTAAGCAAACAGCAAAGCAACAGGCAAATTGTAGACACTGAGCATGTGTGAGCCTGTTTTCCCATCTGCCTTGTCTTGCCCTCCATGGTTTTAAAGTTGGCTTCTCGATTATCCATCAGATCTATAGATGCGGCCAAGCTGTTGTCAGACAAGCTTTAAACAGAAGCCCCCGGTGGGAATTCATTTTCTTTTCCTTCATGAGAAGGAAAACCTGCACCTAGGAAAAATTCCCAAATATGATAAGCCTCCCCTAGAAATCCCTCCCACAGTGTTGCAGTCAGGGGCCCTGTCTGCTTGGGCCCCACCAGCAGTGCTGTGACCTCTCCCTCTCAGGACTCAGTGGCCAAGAACAAGAAGGTCCTGGTCAAGGTTAAGGCTGAGTGAGTTGGCAGATGTGAGTTCCATGCAGCTGTGGGTAGAATCAACACCTGGTCAATTTGAAATTTTCAAGGGTCACTTGATCCTAGAAGGACTTGATCCTTCGAATACCTCATATCGGAGGCCGATATTTCCCATGACCTTCTCTCCCACAGAGACCTTTCTACGTGACCTGAGCCAAATGGGTTTGGAACAGGCCTGTTTGCTGGCTGCTCTCTCAATTTTGCAACAGTGCTGATGAGTCCCGTTATACGTCAAATTGACCACATGTCTATTCACATATACTATAATCCTTCAGCTTCAATTGCAAGTGATGCCCAGTTCTGTTTGCTTTCTCCTCACTTCCTTACACAACCTCATAGGCAAGTGCTCAAAGCCTCAGTAGCTCCCAGGTGCCTTCTAATGAGTTCATTCTGTGGCTAATATTTCTTCCTGGCNACATACATACATGCAAAGCAATACAATCATTATTCTGCTAATGTTATACAAATTTAAACTCAAGAAACAAAGACAGCACCCCTTCCATGATCATGTATCATTTAGAATGGTTAAAGGCCTATAGAAAACAATGAAACAATTTATTCAAACATGGAAATTAATCATGGCATTGACACTTTGGTCGAATCTAATATCCATGCTTACCTGTCTCAGAGAGCAATTTTGTAGCTTCCAGCACCTTCTCAGTGTAAACACCGGCTTCGTAGTTCTCCATCTCAGCATTGATTATGTGTATGACTCGAGCTGCCCGGCCCCTGATGGCCCCCGCAGTCCGGTCCAGAGTGTCCACATCCCCCTCTTGGAGGGCTATCACACACTTGTTCACGTCCTCCAAGATATGATTTTCTGTGGAGAGAACATGTACTCATTGACTCAGCCATTTTAGTAACCAATCTAAAATTCATCAATTATCATGAATCATCATCTTACACATATCAATATATGCCTGAGAATAGTGGTTCTCAGACTTGAGCACCAGCCTGAAGTCTTGTAGAACCAAACAGACTGCTGGGAGCCAATCACAGAGTTTTTTATTCAGGAGGTCTGGGGTGGATCCCAAGAAATTGCATTTATACCAAGTTCCCAGGTGACGCTAATGTGGCTCATTTGGGGATCATACTTTGAGGACCACTGACTTAAGGAATATCCCTTTCTTTGTTTAAGTGTTGGAGATCTATAGCATGAAAAAGGCCTTTTAGGAGTGATTGTGGCAGCTAACACGGAGTCGACTGGCCCAGCGAGAACATTTCTGGACATGACCAGAGTTTTTTTTCTAGACGTGACCAGCTTTGGGTGCATGTTTGTTTGGTCATGTTTTTATTTAAGGAAAACCATAGAATGAACAAACATCACCCAGGTCATGCACAAGGTATAGGCAATGGGAAAATTGATCACGTGAAGAGGATCACAGGGTTCTCCACAGTTAAAATACAATGCAGTCTTGTGGCTGGTTCCCTCAGAGTAGAGTTAAGGTCAGTGATCACTCTCCTACCATTGCCCAAAGTAGAATCCAAGCAGGCAGGATGAGAAGTTTCAGTCTAGCACAGAGAAAACACACAATCTGGTCCCTTACAGTTTTGCAAGTGTTCAATTTTGTATTTCCCATGTCCACTGTGAGATCTGTAACTACATCCCTTGCACATTCTTTATAAACAGAGTACTAAGAAAATGTTCAAAAAAGTTTAGTATTCTGAGGAAAAAAGAGAACTTAAACTGGAAATACACACCCAC